AGTCTGTGGGCTCTAAGATTCTATTACAACTCCCTTCAAGGTATCCTTTGGCATTGTGGTTCTGTTGCACCAGCTTGACAAGGACATTCCCTTCAAGGTGTCCGTGGGCTCTGTGGTTCTGTTACAATTCCCTTCAAGGTGTCCGTGGGCTCTGTGGTTCTATTGCAACGTCTTGAATTCCCTTCAAGGTATCCGTGGGCTCTATGGTTCTGTTACTTCATCTTGACGAGGAAATTCCTTTCAAGGAGTCCGTGGGCTCTTCCAGGTGTTCGTGGGCTTTGTGGTTCTGTTGCAAATCCTGAGAAGGAAATTCCTTTCAAGGAGTCCGTGGGCTCTGTGATTCTGTTGCAACATCTTGATAAGGAAATTGTCTTCAAGGTGTCCGTGGGCTCTGTGGTTCTGTTGCAACAACTTGACAAAGAAATTCTCTTCAAGGTGTCCGTGGGCTCTGGGATTCTGTTGCAATATCTTGACAAGAGAATTCTCTTCAAGGTGTCCGTGGGCTCTGTGGTTCTGCTGCAACAGCTTGACAAGGAAATTTCTGCAAGGTGCTTGTGGGCTCTGTGCTTCTGTTGCAACATCTTGACAAGGGAATTCTCTTCAAGGTAGCCGTGGGCTCTATGGTTCTGTTGCAACATCTTGATAAGGAAATTCTCTTCAAGGTGTCCGTGGTCTCTGTGGTTCTATTGCAATATCTTGATAAGGAGATTTTTTTCAAGGTGTCCCCGGGTTCTGGGGTTCTGTTGCAACATCTTGATAAGGCGATTCTTTTCGAGGTGTCCGTGGGCTCTGTGGTTCCGTTGCAATATCTTGATAAGGAAGTTTTCTTCCAGCTGTCCGTGGGCTCTGTAGTGCTGTTACAACATCTTGACCAGGAAATTGCCTTCAAGGTGTCCGTGGACTCTGTGGTTCTGTTGCAATTCCCTTCAAGGTGTCCGTAGGCTCTGTGGTTCTGTTGCAACGTCTTGGCAAGGGAAATTCCCTTCAAGGTGTCCGTGGGCTCTGTGGTTCTGTTGCAACGTCTTGACAAGGAAATTCCCTTCAAGATGTCCGTGGGCTCTGAATTTCTGTTGTAATATCTTGACAAGGAATTTCGCTTCAATGTGTCCGTGGGCTCTGCGGTTCTGTTGTAACATCTTGAATTCCCTTCAAGGAGTCCGTTGGCTCTATGATTCTGTTGCAACATCTTGACAAGGAAATTGTCTTCAAGGTATCCGTGGGCTCTATGATTCTGTTACATAATCTTGCGAAGGAAGTTCCCTATAAGGTGACCACGGGCTTTGAGGTTCTATTGCATCACCTTGAGAAGGAAATTCCCTTCAAGGAGTCCGTGGGCTCTGTGGTTCTGTTACAATTCCCTTCAAGGTGACCTTTGGCACTGTGGTTCTGTTGCACCAGCTTGACAAGGACATTCGTTTCAAGGTGTCCGTGGGCTCTGTGGTTCTGTTGCAACAACTTGATAAGGAAATTTCCTTCAAGGAATCCATGGACTCTGAGGTTCTGTTGCAACATCTTGACAAGGAAATTGCCTTCAAGGTGCCCATGGGCTCTGTGGTTCTGTTGCAATATCTTGACAAATAAATTCCCTTCAAGGTATCCGTGGGCTCTGTGGTTCTGCTGCATGAACTTGACAAGGAAATTGCCTTCAAGGTGTTCTTTGGCACTATGGTTCTGTTGCACCAGCTTGACAAGGACATTCGCTTCAAGATGTCCGTGGACTCTATGGTTCTATTGCAATATCTTGACAAGGAAACTCCATTCAAGGGTGTCCGTGGGCTCTAAGGTTCTGTTGAAACATCTTGACAAGGAAATTCCCTTCAAGGTATCCGTGGGCTCTGTGGTTCTGTTGTAACATCTTGACGAGAAATTCCCTTCAAGGTGCCCGTGGTCTCTGTTATTCTGTTGCAACAGCTTGAGAAGGAATTTCCCTTCAAGGTGCCCGTGGGCTCTATGATTTTGTTGCAACATCTTGATAAGGACATTCCCTTCAAGGGATCCATGGACTTTGTGGTTCTGTTGTAATACCTTGAGAAGGAAATTCCCTTCAAGGAGTCTGTGGGCTCTGTGATTCTATTACAATTCCCTTCAAGGTATCCTTTGGCATTGTGGTTCTGTTGCACCAGCTTGACAAGGACATTCACTTCAAGATGTCCGTGGACTCTGTGGTTCTGCTGCAACATCTTGACAAGGAAACTCCATTCAAGGGTGTCCGTGGGCTCTATGGTTCTGTTGCAACATCTTGACAAGGAAATTCCTTTCAAGGTGTCCGTGGGCTCTATGGTTCTGTTACAATTCCCTTCAAGGTGTCCGTGGGCTCTGTGGTTCTATTGCAACGTCTTGAATTCCCTTCAAGGTGTCCGTGGACTCTATGGTTCTGTTATTTCATCTTGACGAGGAAATTCCTTTCAAGGAGTCCGTGGGCTCTTCCAGGTGTTCGTGGGCTTTGTGGTTCTATTGCAAATCCTGAGAAGGAAATTCCTTTCAAGGAGTCCGTGGGCTCTGTGGTTCTATTGCAAATCTTGACAAGGAAATTGCCTTCAAGGTGTCCGTGGGCTCTGTGGCTCTGTTGCAACAGCTTGAGAAGGAAATTCCCTTCAAGGTGTCCACGGGCATTGTGGTTCTGTTACAACACCTTGAGAAAGAAATTCCCTTCAAGGAGTCCGTGGACTCTGGGAATCTATTATAATTCCCTTCAAGATGTCCGTTGGCACTGTGGTTCTGTTGCACCAGCTTGACAAGGACATTCGCTTCAAGGTGTCCGTGGGCTCTGTGGTTCTGTTATAATATCTGGACAAACAAATTCCCTTCAAGGTGACCGTGGGCTCTGTGGTTCTTTTGTAATATGTTGACAAGGAATTTCCCTTCAAGGTGTCAGTGGATCCCTTCAAGGAGTCCGTGGGCTCTATGGTTCTATTATAATATCTTAGAATTCATGCCACATTTGGAAACCAAAACGACCGGGCGGCTGCTGCACGAAAGCCTACGCAAAAGGTGGGGGAACAAAAGGTGGCTGCACAAGCGGTACCCCGAGCGCCGGCAAAAAGGTTGGCGGCGCCAGCGAGTAGGCGCCCTTTTAGGGTCCAGTTATCTAGGGGTGGGGGTGGAATTCTGCTTCTACTACGCGATCTTCATCGCCTAGCTATATATACGTCTGAACGGGATCGAAATCGGTGATGATGTCTTAATCTAAATCTGCGTCTATGGTATCTGTATCTATTAACAAGACCACGAGGGTCAGAGCGCGCCGGGCTTACATTAACCTCAATAACTTGTGTCAAGAGTATAATAGTGTCCATCATCATGAATCAAATATGTGTCCACATCAATTGCAAATGCGAGATGCCTTCTTATTATAGTATTCTATGGGACAAATATTCGCCAAAAATAGATGGGCACTAGATCAGAATCAAATTAGAGGGGGAATCGTTTCGCATTATCTAGGCATGATATGAATGGGTATACGAGCCAAGAAGACGTTTCTTCGACCTCCCGATATGAGAGATTGAATATTCCATTCTCGCTTAGGCACCAATTAGAAATCTCCAAGGATGTGAGATTACCGTTCCCAAAAGCTCTAATTAAATATCGTCACTCCAGAAGACTTATGTCGCGGAGAGACCAAACGAACAACTTCAGAACCTCCTTGCAGACAAAATCACAAATATTCCTCGTAATCTCCAGGGAAAAGACCCACCACCACCCCGAATTACGAGAATATGAGGAACATCGCCAGCAGAGAGACACAAAGGAGGCTCATCCAGAAAATCCCCTACCGTATCCCGTACGAAGAAGATACTGCACATCGACGCACAGAAGCGCAAGCGTGATGGGGCGTGGGCAGCAGCTTTGGCGACAACGATAGCGTCAGCAGCGTAAGGACATCAATACCATCCGTTCGTGGCTTCCTCCTTTCTATCCGACACACAAATTGCCAAATCACAAGTGCCCAACATCGTCCAACTGCACGTCGAAAGCAGCCGCAGTGTCCAAAAATCCTCGCGAACAAATTTCTCTGCGCCCATGTGCCCCATGCTGTTTGGATTGAAGGGATGCCTGATGCTCCGTTCCCTCATCTTTTTTCTTTCCTTCGGCACTTGAAGGCTCAGAACTTCGCGCTGGAGGCATGTCCCCCTAAGACCACCGTAGCCCAAGGGTACTTCGGTGTGTTTAAGCTGGTGCCATCGCTTGCGTTGCTGTTTCGGCGCGAAGTTCTATAGGCTGAAAGCAAGGGATAGGTGGCACATGGTGGCACGCATGGCCGCCCCAAGCGACGAATCGAGAAGTATACAAGTACCTGCGGAGCATTTAAAGGCCACGAAGTGTAGCGCGGGTCCTGCCGGTGATGCAGGGTTGTCGCTGACTGGTACCAGTAGCTCTTAAAAGAGGGCACTGTGTCGGCCTCGCCTATAGGCCTACGACAGGGAGAAATTCACAACAGGAAAGCGCCCCGGGACTCCAGCAGGGCGTCGGGAGTGGGTCGGGAAGTATGGGTAGGGGTTGATGGTTTCAGACAGTTTGGTGGTCGTGCTCAGGTCAGTCTGCAGAGCCTGATCTTCCTTGCAGTCCCAAACCGCAAAGTCTCAACCCTTCGACTTCTTAGCAGTGCGCTGTCCTGAGAGAGCATCCAGCGCCGCACTCTGATCGCACTGCACAGGGAATCGTTTTGGGTTTTGCGTTTTTTTCTGCCCAGTCCCCAAGGTTCTGTATTTAACCAAACTTCCTTGAACTAACCAAGCTGGGAACCCTCCTCGCCAAATTCGCCAGGAAGAAAGCTCGAAAACGTTCGGCTCTGGCGCTCAGGACGTCTCAGTCATGATTCGTGAACTTATGGCAGGCAATCTTTCGCCGTGCTGCTTCCAAGATGTAAGATGTCCGTGGGGTGAAGATGTGTGAGACAAGGTGAAACCGCCCACATCCCCCCACCATGGGTGCCTTGGGCAGCATGGTGCAAATGGGGCAAATGGTGGCTCACGTGCTTCCTGATGTGGACTGCCTTTTGCTCAGCACTCCTCTTCGTCCGCCTTCGTGTCGCTCGCTCTGTCAACCACTCGAGTAAGCTCACTCTCACTGCTGTCAGCAGAGACAACAGACAACAAGTGATCGAAATGAGTGTTGATGCCCTTCAAGTCTACTTTGCGTCATCTTGCCCATCTGTTTTGAACTGTTCGGTGTCCCCTTCGGCTCTAGCTGTCCAATGTCAGACTCAGCATTAACGATGCACGATGCCTCGAAAACGCGTATTGGTCAACGTAGCGGAGCAGCACGCAAGAACCAAAGATCTCATGTCATATCCAGCAGCAGCAGCAGCAGCAGCAGCAGCAGCAGCAGCAGCAGCAGCAGCAGCAGCTGTTTTGAGAGAGCGCTTGCCCTTCAAAGTGTTCAATCTCTGTTTCTCCTCGTCATTATCCAGCATTCTCCTTCAATAGGTACGCAGGCCAGCCCGTTTCCTCAGTTTCTGCCCTCCCCGTTTTCAAGAGGACATCTGCACATGAAGCGGGAATCGAGGGGATGAGGACAGTGGGCTCCCACAATCCAGCTCACCCCACACCTGACCCTGCGAAACGTAAACGAAACCTGCCCTTCACTCGTCTAAAGCGCTGCTCTCACTTATATAACTACTACAACATGCTTACACAGTGGAGTGCAAAAGTTGAAAAATTCCCGAGTGACATCTTCTGCTTCTATTGGGCCTGAGGGAGGACGTCTCTCTCTCTCTCTCTCTCTCGCTCCGATCTCTCGCACCTGGTAGGCCGCGCTCGAAGCAGTGGTTCCCTGACCGCCAGTGAGGTGCCTCGTGCGACCAAGGAAAGACTCAGGCCGGGCAGTATGGTTTGTTTGCTATGTTTACTTCAGTTTAGTCAGTTTAGTCCTCCAACTCTTCATTCTAAGATTCACAGATGGTCGCCTGAATGCTGCCTTTGCAAGTTAAGCTCCACTGCACATGTTCTGTGCATGGCAAGGATCTGCAACCTGCACTCTTGCGGGCCCGTTGCTGCACCAAGGGGAGCAGTTGCTGCAAGGGCATCGACCTCTCACGAAGCAGGCTGAACAGCGTCGGCAAAGATCTTTGGCTTGGGGCTGCCGCTGCAAGAGCAGCCATGTTTGTTGCTGGTCCTCTTCTGGCTCCAGCAAGGGCCTCAATGAGAACATCTCACCATCTTCTCCTCTCTTCTGCATCTTCCTTTAACATTTCCTCATTTTCGTTTTGCTTTTTTTTCTGTCTTTGGGGCGATGCTTTGTTTGAAGGCTCTTTGTGCAGTGCTGCAATGCGTTGGGTGCCCGGCTCCAAGCCCTCCGCCGCGGCTGCCTCGGCCTCCGGCTCCGACTCCAAAGCTGCCACCGGCTTCGTTTCCGATGGCCCGAACAGGCGCCGGCACATCTGGGCCTCAATTTGTGGTGTGTGTAGTCAGAAGATTCAACCCTCCCTTTTGCGCAATGCTTCGCCATGCTCCGCCCCGGCCTCCAGGAAATGCCGCTGCGACATGTAGGCCTCTTCACCAAGGAGCACCTGCTGAGCTGGCTGAGCCAGCTGGCAGCCCAGCAGCATGTGCCCATGAAGCGTTTCTCGGAACATCTTTGGATCTTGCGATCTTGCATCATTGCATCGCGGGCACCAGGACTCCCAGAAGATAAAAGCCCAGCCTCGCGTTTCCAACACCGCGCCACCGCGTGCATTTCGGCAACATGGTGCAACATCTTGCAACATGGCGCGACATGGTGAACTCGTGGGCCCCCGGCGGTCCAATGAGTTGCATGTCAGGAAGACCTCCCCAAATGCCAAAAAGACAGATTCACTTTGCACTCGGTTTTGCTGGGGCTGCCGAACAGGTATCAACCAATCGGAAGCTTCAGGGGCGTTAGCTGAACTTGGATGGGCTAGCTGATTTGTGCTTCAGGCTTGGCCTAGGCTTGGAATGTTGGCTGGCTTTTGTGCGGCTGGGAGGTTTTAGGATATCTGTGGGAGTTGTTACCTGGATTGGACAGGCCTTGCAGTCTTTGGGCTGATGGCAGATTATGCACAAAACAGGATCCACACCCGCGCAGTACAAGCGTGCTGCTGTTTAGATATCGGCTAGCCGGCATGATCCGCCGAGGCCTCGGGCCGGAGGTGTTTAAGTTAAACCTTAAGCCGGAACCCTCAAACCTTCAATCCCCCTCCCCTACCCCCCCCCCCCCCCCCCCCCCGCCCCCATTCCCCCCCACCCCCCCTGCCCCGCTCTGAAAGGCCTGGCTCAACCCTACGATCAATCCAAGCCGAACCGTCTCTTGAACCCTAAACCCAAAAAAACCCTAAACCCCAAAGCGTGAACCTTGAGCCCTAAGCCCTCAATCCTAAACTAACCCTCAACCCTAAACCATAAACCATAAACCCGGAACCCTAAACCCTAAACAGCCGCGGGGCCCGAGACCTCCCAGCGGTGCGGTGGGTGCGACGGACTGCGGGCCATGGAGATTTTCTCTGGCAACACTGGTGCACTTGACATGCATCAACGTCTGGATGCACTTTTTAGCAATGGTTGGCTGCCGGCAAAAAGCATCGAACACATGCCTGATGAGTTCAACGCTGCTGTGGTGGTAAAGCAGATGAAGACGAAGCACCATGGTATTTGTTCTTTGGTGGACCTCAGGTTGCGCAACGATTTGGAGTCCTCCTCTGGTACAAGGGAGCCGAAGATAATCAATGAGGACTGGCCCTTCGTGTCGTCTAACTTCCCGGGTCAAGTCCGAGTTGGCCAAGCATTTATGTCGGTGAATGCTCGCTGGGCTTCAGTGGACGGAGACCAGGGCATTAGATTTCCGGAGACCACTGGGATCTCAGCCACTATTCCTATGAATACAGCAACGGATGCTATTCCTGGTATTGTGGAACTGTTTTGTGGTGGTATGGGTGGATGGTCGGTGGCAGCTTCGAAGCTTCCGGCTGAGATGGTAGCAAAGGTAGACCACGAGGGAATGGCCATCTCATCAACTCTCTTGAACTCCCCTGGAGCCCGCCTCTTCACCCCACACGATGATGATGACGGAGCAAACTTCGACATCTTTTGGGGCGAAGTTGGGGATTGGAGATGGGCCCGTACCCTGCAGAAGACCCATGTGGAAGCATTGTGTGCATCCCCTCCATGCCAGCCCTTTTCGGCAATGGGAAAGGGCGAGGGACTGGAAGACAAGGTCAATGCGACAGGATGGTTCCAGTTGTTCTATGTGGCCCGACTCTTGCAGCGGAGGATACTGCTCATCGAAAATGTAGTCGGCCTCCTAAGCCACAAACACTTCGCCCTCATTGAAAAGCTTCTCAGGTGGGCTGGTTATACGATCGTCTGGAAGGGAAAAATTGACCCGTCGCAGTACGTGCCAGCTGACCGAATGCGCATCTTTATTGTGGCATGGAACAATGCTGATTTGGATGGTGTCTACAAGAATTTCAAAATGGTGGCCCCTTTCAGCAATGGAGCCAAGATCTGCAATGATGCGCTTTGGAAGAATATGAGTCCCGAAATGGTTGATGAGCTCAGGTTGACTTTTGCCCAAACCTCAAAAGCTGCAAGCCGTGACCTCCTTCCGGATTGGCTCCGCAACCAACCTGGGAACGTCTTAGACAAGAGGAAGGTGCATACAGGGCTTCCGTTGCCACCCATCACGACAAAGTACAGGACCCTCATCGACTCGCCTTGGCTGACCTTGAGGAAACATGGGCTTTGCCTTCCACTTTGGGGAGTTGAACACCCTGGAGTCAGATTCCTGTCGAAATGGGAGGTGGCGAAGGCTTTCGGTTTTGCAGCAGATGTGATCCTCCCAGAGCCAGAAGAAGATGCTTTCCTGCTCCTGGGCAATTCCTTACTACCATGTCAGGCGATGATAGTGTTGGGATCAGCCTTGGAACACAGACCGGGAGACCCCATGGGAGCAGAAGAGATAAGGGCATTCATCACCGACGGCATTCAGGAGTTGGCATCAACGTGGCGAAACTTTGACCTCTTGGTGCAGGTTACAAACCAAGGATGGGCGACCCTGGAGCTTCGTGGTGACATCGCAGCAGCTGGCCCACAGGGAAGATTGGCTGGCAAGATTGGGGCATGGCAAGTCAACATTGCATCCCTCACAAGGAATCGAGAGAGAGGATGTGAGGTCCCCTGCCTGACAGAAGAGACCCGAATGCTCTATGAGGAGATGTTCGAAGACAAAGAGGACGAGCAAGGCATTGGGCACCAGCTCTTCTGCCCAGACCTTGGCAGGGTGGAAATCCGCCTCGATGGAGACCTCTCTGTGCAGAAGGTGAGCCAGCAAATTGCTGAGTACCTCAACATCCCGCCGCCCAACCTCGTGGTCATCCGCATCCAGCCACCTTTCGAAGAAATGGGTCGATGGATCCTGGCTGGCGACGTCCGGGATGGACGAGATGGCGAAGTTCTGATCATCGTGGACACAGCTTTGCCTATAGCAAGATGGGCAAACAACATACTGTACCGGGCTGATATGCGCCAGTTCTACTTCAGCGAACACACAGACAGCCCAATGTGGATTACAATCAATGAAGTCCCAGTACATGAATGGCCCATTCAGATACAGAGCGGGGACTATGTCTGCTTGCGGTGGGATGGCCACACGGACATGGATGAGTGGCCAGATTTCCCCACATTCCGCATCCCGGGACCTCTTCCGCCAACCCCACCCGATACACCTGGAGATGATGGAGAAGATGGCGAGAGCTCTGATATTGATGAATCAGGGGATGAATCCTCGGAGGAAGGAGCTGAAGGAGCAGAACCAGATGCTCCCGCCTCAAGTGTCAGCGCGGCACCAGAGGCCAACCCTGTTGATCATGGAAGAACAGCAACGATGGACTACAACACGGTCCCTTCTACACTCCCGACTATGCCATGGTCGCCGGTTACTTCCCCTCCGAGAAAGTCACCGACCAAAGGAGATCATGACCCTCGGCCTATGAAAAAGATCCTCATCGAAGATGGTGCAAGCACAGTTGCGAGGCCAAGCATACATGCATATGGTGACAACAGTGGAACACAAAGTATGGCCAGCTCTTTCTTCATGGTTTTCCAAGGCCAATGTCTGCAGGTCAACAAGTTGGATGCGAGACTGGTTGGTCAGATCGCCGAAGACCACTGGGGCTTCCAAGAAGCAGATATCTTCATGACGATCAATGGCAAGCCCCTCAGCCTCAATGCCACTCCGTCGGCAATGTCAGTAGGGGCTACAGTCCAAATTCGAGGACGTCTTCGTGGTGGAACCCAATCGGCTTTGCAGAAGCTCAAGGGACTCTTGCTTTCAAAGGGAGTGGCCAACGATAACGTGGATGCCAGGATTGAAGAGATCAGAGAGAAGATTGGCGACAGGGGGATTCGCGAGATCTACACCTCCTTCGACCCGTGGAGTACGCTGAAAAGCCGATGTGGTACGATGAGGTTGGTGAAGGAGAGCGAACTCAAACAGAAGCCAAAAGCAAAAGGGCTTCAAGAAAATGACCCGCTGCAAGACGATGACCCCTGGAAAAAGGCACTGCAAGAACGAGATCAGTGGAAGATGGAACCAAGTTTCTTCAAGAAAGAGGATGGGAGCCCGCCAATGGTCCTGCAGAAGATTACACATGGCGCTTGTGGTATTGCCATGGTCTACGAGAAGGAAGCCTCGATGCTGGTGGGAAATGAGGACCACATGTCATCCGAGGAGTTGGCCATTCTATTGGTGGGTGGTACAATTTCAGCGCCGACAAGATTTAGTTCCATGCAGGTCGAGTTCCCTTGCAGAACAGCTGATGATCAAAGAGTCCTCCTCAAAGCACAACTTGTGAACTTGGGAACCAAAAAAATCTCTCTGGCCGGGGAAGACTCCAAGGTTACGGTTGATGAGGTGGATAGCATTGTCGTGGGATGTGATATTGTCCACAAAGACGTGCCCTCATGGAATGAAGTGGTCGAAGGAACGGTTCGATTCCTGAAGAAGCAAATCCCAACTTTGGAAAAAGCATCCTTTGCAAATTGGGGTCGACGATTCTACACAAATGGCAGACAAGTCCAAGATGGCCTCCAAGCGGAATCCTGCCACATCATGCTTCGCGTCAAAAGAGAATTCCGAGATGTCATTTTGAAAGAGGTGGTACGAGGAATTTACCTCTCTCCGAAAACCGAAGATGGCAAGCCAGATGGGGCTTTCAAGATAATCTGGTTCCAGGACAGGCCATTCGATGACCTCAAGGTGCTGGCCAATGCTGAGCCGGCTTCATATGGCATTGTCAACTCCAAATCGGGAAAGGGCATCAGGGTTAAACCGCAGGACTTTACCCGCCTTCGCCAAAAGTGGCACCCAGACTGGAAGCCGATCGAGGGGGCCCCGTACGACCTCCTCATCTCCACGTTCTTCGACGTCCAGAATATGCCCCTATCCTGCACGAAGGCTGACGTCCAGAAGTTTCTTAACGGAATTGGGTGGCAGGCCATGGTGCTGAAGCAGACAAAGCCTAGATGTTGGATGGCTGGAGCACAAGGGCCTCCCGACAAAGCTGTACATTTGGCGACACATGGTACAGTCCTTATCTCTGAGCGCTCAGCGAAAGGAAATGGCAAAGGGTCCAGGAAAGATCCCTTCCCAGCAGTGGTGGCAGGAAAGCCCAGACCAATTAGGATCCACCCGGAGATAAGCAGCCCAGCGATGCAGCTTGAGTTTGATGATGTGGCCTCCAAGAGCCTGGAAGACAAATTTCAGAGAAAGCTGGACTCCCTGCAGAAAGAACAACAGGCAGCCAATCAGATGTTCCGGGAAGACATCCAAAAGATCAATGCCAAAGTGGATGAAAATGCCCAAAAGCAAGAGCAGACCAACAATGAACTCAAGTCTACCGTCACGGGCCTCACTGACACGATTGCAAAGCAATTGGCATCACAATTTCAAGACCTTCAGCTGTCAATGCAAAATCAACGCCAGGAGATGGTCCACGAGTTGCGCACCGCACAAGGGACCCTGAAAGATGAATTGACGACTGATGTCCGACAACAAATGGCTTCCCTGAGGAAGAGAACACCCTCGCCTCAAGGGAGTGCAGAAAACGGTGAGAAAAAGCCCAAGCAGTGATATGAACCTCGAATAATTCATCTGGCAGACATGCTGGATGGCGATAATGCTTACTTCATATCCTGGACTTCCTCAGTCAACAGGTGTGCATGGAATGATGCAACTTACATGGATGACAGCTTCAAGGCTGGAAAAGGTGGGTGGCATCAGAATTATGATAATTCGATGATAGATGAATATGAACGCTTAATTAACTTTTGGAGATGGTGGACTTCCTTTCTTTATCATGGATACAACCCTTTTCTTGGTCAGCGAATTGGCGAAGCGGAGAAGCCAGGACCTTTTACGGTTTCTGGACTCAACGTCCAATGCTTGAATGCCTTTGTGGATGACGGACGATTCACATCTTCTACTTCGGATGTGGTGGTTTTCTCTGAGACGGCGGCGACAAACTTTGTCAACGTAAAGGCATGCAAGGCAGCCAGAAGGAGAAAATGCCACTACAAGCATGGCTCTGATGTCAACCGCAGAGATTTTGTAGATGGACGTATTTGCGAAACCAAAGGTACAGCCCAGGGAGTTGGTATTCTTTCCAAACTGCCACTCCGTAATCCCAGACAGGACTGGGACAGTGGCATTTGGAACTCGGCAAGGGTCGTGGACACAATTGTGGTCACAGACTGTGGACCGATCCGGATCTTTGGAATGTATGGTCTCCACCAGACGTTGCCTGATTAAATTTGGTTTCAAGCAACCTGAAGATGTCATCAAGTTTGCAAGAGAAGGCAGCTTTGAACCATCAGGGGATGAGACGACGGTCATGACAAGGCAACGTATTCGTCAGATACGGAGGCTGGAGTCGTTACTTAGTCAACAAGACCGCCTGGTGGAACTTGCTCCTGACACTGCTAACTGGTGGAACTGTAAACAAGCTTGCTTGGCTACATGGCGTGCCGTATTGAAGTCTTCTGGCTTTGTTGGGGATTTCAGGACGTGGTGGCTCGAAGAGGTCGCAGATTGGTTTCCCCATGGCCTACCCTCAAACTGGCAGACCAGGTATATGCTCACAAAGCTAGAGGAACTTCAAAAACATTGGAAGAATCGATGCCTTTGCCATCGCAAGACAATGTTGAAGCAGAGATTTACGGAAGACTGGGACAAAGGTGGGTCGTTACACTTCCAGGCAATCAAGCCTCCCAGCTTCCCGGCGGTGGATAGCATCGATATTGCAGTTGAACTCCAAATCTGCATGCGTCGTTCAAGGAAAAAAGGCCGATTCAGATGTAAGCTTGTGAACGATGACCTCCATTGTATAAGGGTTGGGGCAATTTGGCATCAAAAGGAGAGCAAAGGGATGGTCGCTTCTATTGAAGGAGGCATTGTTACTCTTTCCTTGATCTCGGGTTCCTTTAGAAGTGGAACGATCCATCAACTGCAACCTACGGCAAATCCGTTGATTATTACCAAGGAGGCGGAGAAGTATTGGAACCAATTTTGGAACGGGAACAATGGAAGAACCAATGACGAGGCCATTATGGAACAAGCTGTCAACTCACTTCCCATTCTCGACAACATGGAGACGCACATCAGCTTAAAAAGAAAAAGGCCAGAGGAATGGATTGTTTCTCCAATACCGAACTTAAAAATCTTCCGGTGCCTCTCAAACAACCACTTGGACAAATGCTGAACCTTTTCACGGAAGTGGGATGGCCAGCAGCATTACTGCATGCCAGAATGTCATTGCTCTACAAGAACGACCAGATCGGAGACATATCTTGCACAAGACCTATTACAATCTTGGCCTCAACCTACAGACTGTGGGCGAAGATTATGACGGCAAAAACAATGCGGCATTTATTGCCTCATCTTCCACGTACTCTTTATGGATCAGTGCCGGGGAAATCATCAATGGATTTGGCGTGGAATATCCAGGTGACCCTTGAAAAGGCACTTCTTCGAAAGGAAACAATCCTGGGAGTATCACTTGATCTGTCGAAGGCTTACAATACAATCCCAAGAGATATCCTTGCCCGATTGAACAAAAGACTTGGCCTGCAGGATGTATGGAAACCTTACAGCTCTTTCTTGAGTGGACTACAACGACATTTCGTCTGCAATGACCATTGGGGACCAGCGGTCAAATCCAAGGTGGGCGTGCCAGAGGGGTGTCCTCTTGCGGTAGCACAAATGATTATCCTAACATGGATGTTCACAAACTTGGTGCAACAAAGACATGCAGTCGACCTGCACTCCTATGTGGACGATTGGACATTATTGGATACGGAAGATGAGACCATCACAACCGCCCTCGCTACAGTGGCCGATCTGGCCAAGGCAACGGGATTGATCCTCAACATCAACAAGTCCTGTATCTTTGGTACTAAACCAGCAAGGACGCGAGTGCTGAGGCAAAAACTCCACGATGCTGGCTTCAATGTCAAATATGAGACAAACATGCAAGGATTGGGGATTCAGTTCCAGACTCAGACGAGAGCATCCACAACAAAAAGAGATGAAAGGATGAAGAAAGGAGCTCAACTTTTGGAACGTCTTCAATTTATGCCATGGAAGTATGACATCAAGGCTGCGGTCATTGCAAGAGGTATTTTACAGAAATGCCTTTACGGTTGCGAATGCTTTCCAGTGGGCAAGACGTTCCTCCGATCATTGAGAGCTAAGTGCAATCATACGGTATGGAACAAACAGCAATACCATTTGCATTTTTTGGTCCCGATTATGTCACGCTACGTCTTCGAACCAGCTCTTCACGTGATACGAAGAAGACATGCTACTTTGATGCGAATGTGGGCTCGCAACAAGGAATTGGTCATGGATGCATGGAAAATTGGGATTGAAGGCAGCCATAACTTCAAGGCAGGCCAAGGTTGGGGCCCGATCACGCACTTTCAGCAGATGCTACGGGACTGGGAATGGACACTTGATGCTACTGGGAAATGTACCCTTCCAGATGGCTGGTCTTTTAACATTTGGGATCTTTCCACCACGCAGTTCAAATTGATTACAACGCAATCATGGGAGAGGGTGGTGCTCGCAGACTTACAAACCAAACAGAATCTCCACGATATTGAGGACTTCTGCATCAAATCTTCCAAGTACCCACGGAACGAGGATTCAATGGTGGAAGGCTTCATGAACAAGGTACGGCTGGGAGGGCTTTTCCCAAATGGCAGGAAGCACTCCGTGGATTATAACAACGACAAGGAATGCATCTTCTGTGGACAGGAGGACACGCTCAGGCATAGAGTCCACGACTGCCCAGGAACAGAACACATCCGGAACTCAACCACGGATTGGGATCAACTCAAAGCCTTGCCTGACCACATGCTCCTGGGAGGCCTCTTTCCAAAGCCACAAAAGCTGAAGCAATTCCAAAAGGCCCTTATGGAAGTGGACATCCAGATCTCCCCTCTGCCTTCTAATGGATCTACGCGTATCTTTTTTACTGATGGCTCGGCGCAGGACGAAGGTATTCCTTTGGCCAGGGTTGCCAGTTGGGGTGTGACGGAAGCTCAGGCGAAAGAATCAACAAACCGCGTTGTTTCCTCAGGTATCCTGCCAGGTGTGTTACAAACAGTCTTCCAGGCTGAGCTCTTTGCAGTGAACGTCGCACTTGCGTATGATGGAAGCTGTGAAATCTATTGTGACAATCAAGCAGCAGTCAAAGTGGTACAAGCTGTCATGAATGGAAATGACACCTTGGATTATTGGGTCACACACCCGGACCGTGATCTGATTCAAACCACAATCAATATTCTGAAGAGGAAACAACCAGGCAGTTGCAAAATCTTCTGGACCAAGGCACACAAATCATTACATGATGCAAAGGATTTTTTCGAGCTCTGGCAGATACATCACAACAACCGTGCAGATATTCTGGCAAAACAAGCTCTTCATTCCATGTCTGACGAACTCCGCAAAAGAAGAAACGATCTGGTATGGGAATTCCGATGTTTCCTCAAAACCAAGCTGAACTCCGCTCTCCTGCTGAGAAGGATCTTTGATGAATTCCCATAATTGCTTTTAACCCATCTCCCTTGCAACATGCACGGGGTGGTTTCACGCAAACTTCATGCTGGACTCCACCATGCAATGTCCGACCTAAACCCTAAACGGGCGCTGCGGAATCACCATGCTCACGCGGATGCGCTGGGCCGGGCCGAGGCGGGTCGCGTAGCGTTAAAATTAATTCTGTGTGCCTGTTGCCCTTTTTTCGTAGCTGCTTGCAATCGCTTGGAAAACGACGCTGAGTGGGGGCCCTGCGCAATCCGCTACAGCAAATCTTCCACGGCATGTGTCAACAAAGGGCCCCACGAGAGGACAGGTGGAAATCTAGGCTTCAGTTCCTCCTTCATTTGCTGGGTCCCTTCTTCATGCTCCCTGGCGTTTGCGCTGCCAAGCCCCCGATGATCTCTCGACCCCCTTCCCGAGAGTGCACTGCTGCAAACATGCAGGCCCACCTTTGGAGTGGATTGTTCTGTGAAACATCTCGCAACTCGAGAAAAGTAGCTTAAGCGGAATTCGTGATTGGGAGCTTCGGGCTGGAAAGCCTTGGCCCGGCGCAAAGCTGGCAGCAAAGGCCTCCGCTGCCTGATCGAGTGATCTCGCGACAGCATGCGGAATATAACGACAACGAATACTTCAACATTGAGTAGAGTGAGGCACTGCATGTACGCAACTCCAAAACGCTCACTCGCAGCATTGCCCTTGTTGAGGCACGTGACAACGTCTTTCTCAATCCCTGTTGGTCGGAGGAGTCTGGCTTTTTTGCACAAGTGCGACACGTGCCATAATCCCTTTGACGTCCACAGCTTACGGGGCAGAGAATGCAACAGCGGTAAGAGTGTTTGTTTTTCGTTCCGTACGTTTTTTGCTCAGCACGCCTTTGTGTAACTCACGCGGCTGGCCGAGCAAAAAAAACACTCCGGGCGCGTTCTTTCTTTTTGTTCGGGACGCGGCTGGCCCAGCAAAAAGAAAAACACTCGGGGCGGCCGGGGCGCGTTTTGTTTTTATTTTTTCGGGACGCGGCTGGCGCAGCAAAAAAAACACTCGGGGGCGGCCGGGGCACGTTTTTTTTTGTTCGGGACGCGGCTGGAAAAATATTTTTCAATCAAAAGATACAATCTTTCAGAAAATCAATTTTTCCAAAATATGATTACTTCAACAGCCACACCATATTGTCCACCAATTCAACTGCATTTCAATAACCAGTCGAACAGAACGTAAAAAGCGTTTTGAATCCATCCTTCTTATCGCACGGTTCGTAAGAGAAAGCAGTTTCTCTCTAGAGACGAAGCAAGACGAACCAAAGCGTCTTTTTTTGTTCGGGACGCGGCTGGCCCAGCAAAAAGAAAACACTCGGGGCGGCCGGGGCGCATTTTTTTTACGCGGCTGGCGGAGCAAAAAAAACGCTCCGGGCGCGTTTTTTTTTTGGTTCGGGACGCGCCCGGTCACTCACTCACTTGCGGGCCGGGGGCCTTCGTCCACGGGGCGCGTTGTTTTTTTTGTTCGGGACGCGGCTGGCCGAGCAAAAGAAAAAAAACTCCGGGCGCGTTTGTTTTTCTTTGTTCGGGACGCGGCTGGCCAAGCAACAAAAAGGTAAAGTAAAAGAGCTGGCCGAACAAAAAAGACACACACGTTCCCAGAACAGTCTAGCGAACTAGCACTTAATACTTCATATGGACACCGACAAATATGTAACAGTCTGCAGTGCTACTGAGAGGGGAGATTTGGGGAGACGAGGAAAGGTACTTAAAAGAGTCAGATATACGCAAGGGGTCAATGTTGCGATTCGTGGATTGCAGGCTTCAGGCATGTCCAGGACGTTGCGAGCGAGATGTCGAAAGGTTGAATCAATCCTCTCGCTGTGTTTCACATTGCTTCGCTCCCCAATCAGAAGTACCCATGCCGCAACTGGGCTCCAATCGCTACTCGCCCCTGCATGCAACGCACTCTATGCCTCCTATAAAGCGCCCTCCCTCGCTTAAGTCTGTCGTCCCCTTCTGGTAATTGGAGATGCCTGGGGGGTGCCGAGCACTTGTGTCCTTTATGTCCTGTGCTTCTTCTGCGGGTTCTGCATCCCTCCAGTACTGCAACTCGATGACCCTCGTGGTGTTCATTCTCTGCATGCCCAGCGCTGGTTTTCGCTGTATCGAGCTGTGAGAGCTGATAACGTCGAGTTGGGCCTGGGGGAGGGTGGTTTGATGCGCTCGTCCATCCCGAATCTGCGCGCGAAGGCGTCGGAACCGGTCGTGGGTCGGCCTGCTGGCTTCTGGTCGCGTAAGGCGGTGTCGCTGCCTGCACTCTTGTAGACTGGAAACTGTTCTATCCTGTGTTTCGTATTTCTTCATCTTTCAGCGATTCGCCATTTTGTGTCCGTGTCTTCGGGTTCCTACTCCACTGACAGCGGTTTCCGCTCTTTTGTGGGGCTGTGGTGGCTGTGTGGTGGTGCTTCATGGCTGGTTATGGGCGGGGTCTGGGGGTCAATATAGGCATGTTTAGGAGAGGAGGTGTGCGAAGGCGTCGCTTGTTAAGCTGTTTAAAGTTTAGAGGCACGTGACTCTCTGTTCATGAGTTTGCTGCGTTGCATGTTCATCCTCGCACTCCATTTTCTTCTCTTGGTGAGCACTTTCTTACGGATCGTCTTTGCCTTGGCCAGCCTCCTCCTCCTCCTCCTCCTCCTCCTCCTCCTCATTGGATTCGCCTTCCAATGGCTGCGGGAGTGAACCAGCAAACTGTAGTCGCACCCGCGTCTCATTGTTCTTGCTGTTGTTCTTCTTATTCTTCACATGTTCTAACTTCTGACTTTGTCTTTTTCCTCTCTCTCTTTCTTCTCACTTCCGTTTTTATTGTTCGTACACTAGCCCTACTCTCTAGAGCCCTCCACCTCCCCTAGCACCACAACCAGAGTGGTTGTTTGGGTTTAGCCCTGGAGAGGAAGGAGTCCCTATGGCGAAACCTAACGAGCATAGCGCCAATGTAGCTAGCTCAGATCGCACTCCCGTGGAAATGGTCCAATCAACAGAGCACTCGCTCATCGGACTTTTGTATGGAAGGTGGACAGATCCCACTCATAGCTCGGAGGCCGGGTCCCTTCGGGTCCCGGATTCCCCCAGGGTGGGTAGGGTGGGCACTTTGAATTTGCCCCCCCCTTTTTCTTAGGGGGCCTTGTAGCCACAATGGCCACGGGCGTTGTTGCCGTTTAGCGCCCCCTCCCCAAAAAGGAATGCCAGTGAACATGTAGCTCTGCACATGTAACATCACAACTGCACATAGCACAAGTGGCACATCTGACTGCATGCACATGTAGCTCATGTGTGTGACAGCAGCAAATTCAAGAGTGATTGTTTAGCCCTTTTGGGGAAACACATACAATTAGCCCCTTCTGGGGTAGGCCTTCTCTGCCTGTGGTGCTCTCATGCTTTAGCTCCCTTCCCTTTGGGATGGTAATAGCATTTCGAGAGAGGGCAAAAACACCTTCGATGTTTTTAGCGATTATTGGAGAGGTCGGTCTAGCGCACACGGTCGTAAACAGCTAGCCGTTCACGAGTGCTTCTCTAAACACCCCCCCAGGCCCCCCCACCCCTCAAGAAGCAGGTGACAAAAATCGAACCTGGGAGCTCAGCGCTAAGAAACCCAGAGTGGCCAGCCTCGAGAGCTCGCAAGCATCTGCATCATTCTCTCATTCTCTGCGATTCCCTGTGCTTTTGGTGCTCCTGCTCTCCTGATGGCTCCTGAGGCTTGCTCCGTACTGGCAGGGCATCTCGCAGCAGAGGGGCCAGAACCTCGGGTTTCGCACCTCCACGATTCCGTGCCGTGACTACAGCAATCTACAGAAAGAGGTGTCGCATGATGCATTGGACAGCGAGGGCAGCAGCGGGGCTGTAGCATTGCACCAATGGGAGACTTATGAGGCTTTGTAAGGCCCAAGCCAGCAATACGCCTGCGCCCAGGGCTGCCGCTGGCAACTCAGGCAGGGCCTGAAGCCGAAAGGAAGGAGTGAAGCTGAGTCAAGCTGAGTCAAGTTGAGTCGGGCGAAAGAATAGGAAATTCGGGGATGCACCAGAGAGAGGGCCGCTGCAAGGCCCAGGGCGACCGCACCGGCTGCCCAGCAGCCCAGCGACAGCACGAAGGTGTCTTTCGAGGCGTTGGTGGCGCGCTGCCACGCTACCTTCGGCAAGTCTCTGTGGGAGTTGTGCATCTTGGCCTGTGCTTTCGACACTGCCGCCGCATGCGCTCTTGCCTGGTTCGCTGCCACTACCAGGCAAGCACTAATGGTGTACGTCAAAGATGATGCCTCGGTTTCCAGTCTTTCGTGCGCGCAAGAACGGCTGAAGCAAGCTGGCGGATTACACGTTATAGACATATAGGCACTTACTCTGACTCATAAGTAAACTTATTAGTAACACAAACAAGACCGATTGCTTGAAACTTGACGTGCCCGAAAACATCGTGCAAATGCACGTTGCATGCACGTGGTAGCCTGAGCATCTTGCGCCTGAACGGCAGCTGAAATTCTTCTGTGGATGCCGGAACCCTCAGGGATGAATTTGACGTGTATGTGTGTGTGTGTGTGTGTGTGCGTGCGTGCGTGCGTGCGTGCGTGTGCGTGCCCTGATTCAAAGCCAAGCAGAATTGATTGTCACATATCAGGATTTTCGCACCTCAGGACTGTTGCCGCATCTTCGGCTTTCTAGTACCGGGAGACAGGGCTCTATGGTATTTACCCTGTCCAACGATTCCGGGCGTCAGAGACAAAAGCCTAGACTGATCATCCAGGCGCACTTGCAAGTTTTCATTTCAATCAGGTCAGCTTCCGTGATGTTTAGGATCGCTGTGCAATTCAAAACTGGTGGTCGGGCATCTGATACATCGCAGTTTGCTCAGCAAGGACGTGCCTGACAGGATATTGTCTTAGGTTACCTCGTATTCATCGATCGACACACTCAGTACCATCTTCGGCACCGATGGATTGCTCCCCGTGTGTGTGTGTGTGTATGTCTCTGTGTGTGTTGTCTTACAGCTACATATACAGCTTTGTGTTCTTACATAGTAGGTGGAATCTGGCATGCTTGCGATTTTTGTATGTGTAAGTGGTGCTTCTTGACGCAGGACACAGTGAATTCACACAAAATCTGTCACGTTCTACAGCTCGAATGCATTGCGAAGGGAACGTGTTATCTTTCCTACTGCCGTGCGCGCATGCTGCGAGCACGCATTTGGCACACCCAAAGGAAGATCTCAGTGCCCTTGAAATGGAGGAGTACACTAAAGTCGGTCGTCAAATACCTCTAGGGACGTGATCATGCTTGATGGAAACGTGTACTTTGGAGAACGATTCCGGGCGCCGCTATGACGATGTAATATATGGGAGGTCCAGAGCTCTGGATACACTCGAATGGAAGGTGAGGCTCCGCCAGTCCGAGATCTCAGAATCCAAGCAATGAACCCAGTGTTGAGGGTAACACTACGAATGAGCCAGATAGAGGCAATGCTAGATTGCCGCCGTCAGCATTTTGATAGGAACCAAAGTATGTGGCGTGTTTGGGCAGTTTGGGACCAGGATGCCCCTAAATGGCCCGATTAGCAGCGATGTCTGAAATGTCTCTGTCCCCACCTGCAGGAAGAAGAGCAGGGGCACCAAGCGGCCATGCATCCTGAGGAGAAAAGGGAGTAAGGACAGAGGAGAAGCTGAACGAGAATTGAGCCAAAGGAAAGGGACGAAGGGAAGGGCTCAGAAAGCGAAGAAGGAGAGAGAAGAGACTCGATGTCCGCTTGGGTCCATGGCAGGAGATAGATCAACAGGACCAGAATGTACGCGCCGGCGAACAAGATCACGAAGGCGCCGGGCTGCAGTCGTCAAGGAGTACCCTAAATAAACACTCCAAGCCCCAAGAACCCTAATGTACTGCAGAACCCTGCTCTGAAAAACATCACGGGCAAGACTGGGGTGCATGCCACCCGCTTCCGGACTAGGAGGTAAGCACCGAGACCTCTCGAGCAAAGCAATCCAAAACTGGAAACGGCAGAGGTCGATACATCACATTCAATCGGCTGTCACTGGTGCTTGCACTTCCTCCACTTACTCAGCAAAACAAACTCTGAAAGTTGTCTCTCTTCCCATGTCTTGGCCCCCTGGGCACCAGTGTACGGGATGACTCCGCAAAGCAGCACAGCCAGGAGTCGCGAGCTTCCAGGCCTTCGATTTTTCAGATCACTCGGGACTGGACGTTGCTTGAGGGGAGAACTGCAGTGCATCCTTTACGGTGTTGTGTCGCAGCCAAGTCTGGCATTGGAACCGAGACATCCCCGCTTCTAGTTCGCACTGATATCAAGAGCGACAGCGTTTCACAAGGTGGCTGAGCAGGCTTCGCTCTGCACATGTTGCGTTTACTTCTCTTCCCCAGGCTTCATCGAAAATTCGTGAGACGAGCTACCCTCATACAAAACGGGCGAAATATACCTATATGCTGCCATAGCTTTCATGTTGAAAAACTAGCAGAACCAATTAACTTAGACACACTTAGACAAAGAAAACAAACGCTTTAAATGTGTTCTTTACTTGGTGTGCGAAGACATCAGGTTTTTCAAGGTTTCCACTCGGATTCTCGCAGGCGAGTTTAGTGAGTAAACAAATGTGTTATTAATGAATCAGGAGTATTTTGTTTGATGCAAATACAATTCAAATGTGGGGAAATATATATATATATATATACACATATATATGTGGCCGAGACCTTTAGGGTCTATTTCGCGCATCGTCCTTGCGTTGACTATGTTTGACAATAGATATACATGTTATTGATATGTTATTAAATGAAAATGACGATTTCTATGACCACCTCCTCCTGCTTCGACTGCTACCACTACGACACAACAACTGCGTATTATTGCTCGTGCTGCTACTACTACTACTACTACTACTACTACTACTACTACTACTACTACTACTACTACTACTACTACTACTACTACTACTACCTGGTTAATAAATCTCATTTGGCAAAAAAACAACTCTGCTCTTGCTCTTGACAACCTCGACAGTCAGAGCGACGAAAAGGTGATGAGAGGACGGTCCTGATTGCTGACAAGCTGGACAGAGTCAAGAAAGCACGAGGACTCGTCAATAGCGACGTTGAGCTAGTCGGCCCTGATGACTCTGCAGCCGCCTCGCCTCGGCTCCAGTCCCTGGGCCAGCAGACGACAGTCCGACTCGGACGCCGCGAGCGCCTCCTCGTCCAATGTACCCAGGCCTGACAACAATGAGAAGGGAAATAGAAAAATAGAGCGAGACAGAGAAAGAGAGAGAGAGGGGGAGAGAGAGAGAGAGAGAGCGAGTGAGTCTAGTTATGGCTGTTCCTAGATGCTCTGACACGTTTGGGACGGCATGAGACACACAAGGTGTGCACAAGCCTTCTCCTCTCTCCGATCAGCTTGCGTACCCTTTCCACTGAGGCCCTGTCTGAAGTTGGAAAGCAGCGTCTCACTACGGAAGGCTCCGCAGGATTTCACCGCCTGCCCGGACCAACCTCTCTTTCAGGCCTCTTAGATGCTTGAAACCGACAAACATAAGGGCACATTGTGACTTCGCCTCGGCCCCTGGCCAAAACAGCAGACCAACAACCGTCTCCTTCCCCACCCTTCCACACCCCAATCCACCTCCCCCCTGTGGCATCGGATTGTGCCGTGAACTCCTCCAGCAAGCCTATAATTGCGTCCCAAACATCCCCCAAGCCCACTTATGGCTTTGTCCCTGACCCGCGTTTCCGTTCTGTATCTGTAGCCCTAACATACCGACATATACGTCTCGTGGCATGGGCGCCGTTCGTTCGTGGTTGTAACATGGAAGGATTGACACAACATAGCAGACACACACACACACACACACACACACGACGGACGGACAGAGAGAGACATAGACACAGACACGGACACCTAGACAGACCCTGACACAGACGGACACGCAAACTGAAAGAAAGTTCATGGGCGTCGCACCTTGAAGCTTGCATCATCCGCATCGGTCCTCAAACTCATGGAAGGAAACCAAAGGGGCCCAAAAAAAACAGATGCTCAGTCAACAATACAATTGGCGCTGTGCCACTTGTGTGCAACTGCAAAGTCTCGTTTCCTCGTTCACCGTTCACCTTGAGGGAACTGGATTCCCTCCCACTCGACTGTTGGAAAAAGTGAAAGTGGCAGAGCAGCATGTTCTCTTTGGCCTTCGGAAAGAAGGGAGAGGAAAAGTAAAAAACTGACCTGCGAAGAGCCAGTTTTCTGGCAAAGCCTGCAGCCTTCACAAGTTGCAGCTCCGAGAGGTGCGTGTGATCTCCTCTACCTTCGTTGATCCCTGAAGGCCCCTGCTGGTCACTTTCCCAGCGGTCCATGCGGGATGCCCGTCTTTTGCTTGGAAGCGCACTGTCTTCGGTCGGTGGCATTCTGTGGCCCGCACGGAAAGAGCCGCGAACCGGCAAACAGCTGTAAAACCTCCGCGCTGCTGCCATCGCCTCGCCCAAGCAGCTCCAAAGAACAGGACAAAGAACAGAGAGCAAAGATCGAGGCTTCATGGAGTCATTGCGGACGGAGCAAAGCCCAGGCAAGACAAAGTTCCAGAGAAGAAAGGGTTGACTTCCTGCTCGAATCTCGAGTCGAGGCCCTGGCTGCGGAGACCCCAAAGGGCCTCGCCCTCGCCTGCCAGGCATGGAGAGGCGACATAGACATAGAAGCCAGCAAAAGACGAGAAAGAAAACGCAGTAGAAAGAAGAAAGTCTCAGAAAGTGAAAAAACTAAGAAAAGAAGAGGGAAGGGAGGGAGGGAGAAGGAAGAGAGAACACGTACGAGAACACCCAATCCCCTGCACAACCGTGCTGCGTTACACATCACCGCACCTGCAGAGGCACCCGAGGCCTGGGACGTGCTCACACAAGAACACACAAGAACCAGCCATGAGTTCTGTTCAAGAAGGCACACCACACATCACCACACCTCCCTGATCCTCCCTGTCTTCCTTGTCGTTCTATGTCGTTCTGCGTAGCCATGCGTAGCCTATAGGTTTGATGAGCTTGCCTTCACGGGGAGCGAAGCAAAGGGGAAAGGGGAAAGACTGCAAGGTACGCGAACTCCAGGCATCCTTTACCGGGACTTTACCGTTGTTTCTCGCATCGTTGACCACTCTCGACACTCCGCTGGGGCCAGGAGTTGTTCTAGTTTTGGATTGCTTGTGCTACTTAACAGGAAGACGCTGTGCTGTTGTACCTTGCCGAGTGTGCTAACATATGAATTGTGTCTTTTTTTCCGTCTCTTTTTCGTTTTTTCTCCTGCCTTTTGGTTCCAGCCTGCGGACGATCGGAAACGTTGTCAGGGCCAAGGGGCTATGCCGAAGAAAGTAAGCCCCTCCCCTCGCTTCCCCTGCCCAAGAAACCAGCAATAATTTCAGCAAGGGGCCATGCCGAAGAAAGTAAGCCGGCCGTCTCGCTCCCGGAAGCCATGGGCATCTTTCACACCTTCCAGAGTTGACCACTACGTACAGCACACATCGTCAGTTGCCACATGATCCCAGTCCTGGGGGCACGAGCACAGGGCTGCTCCCATTGCTGCGCATCAGCAGCCTGGACAAACTCACACAAGCGGCCGCCTTTGCTTTCAAACCTCATTGTGTCATGAGTCTTTTGCAAGGCAGACGGGGCCTGCCAGAGACCTCCGAGGACGAAAAGTAGAGGTGTCCCTGGAAGGCCTCAGGCATCTGCATAGTGATGCGCTACTGCGAACGGTATCGCATGACGGGTCCCTGGCAAAGTGACCGGAGCCCTTCTGTGGGCTCAGGGTCGCTGAGTCTGCCTCTCGGAGGGTCGATTTTTGGGGCGTGAGCGACCGTGTGAATCGAGATGTCAGATACTTCAAGTCCTGGAAAGGAAATGTCATCTCGCTCTCGAACGTGGTGCCGAGCCTTCGGAGAAAAACGACTGTCCCAGAGTTGACTCTCGGCCGTGACTCGGGCGTGTTGCCGTGGCTTTGCTCCGCTTGCTCTCTCCGAGTCTCCGGGCCAGGAGCCCAGCAACAGGATTTCGGTGCACACCTTAGGGCTTGCGAGAGGCTCCGTTCTCTCACACCTTTAAACCACCTTTACGTTGATTCGTACTGATTCTGCACTGGCTTGACAACTTACACCATTAGGCCCGTGCAAGTACCCAGGCTGCGCTGCGGCCTGGGGCCAGCCTCTCCAAGATCCGAAAAGAAAGGCACGGCACTTTTTGCCACATTCCCCCTCACGCTCATTCTTTGTCTCTCTCCCTCCTCTCCCTCCCTCCCTGTCTCCCCCTCCCTCTCTCCCCCTCTCTCTCCCTCTCTCTCCCTCTCTCTCCCTCTCTCTCCCTCTCTCTCCCTCTCTCTCCCTCTCTCTCCCTCTCTCTCCCTCTCTCTCCCGTGCCTTTCATTTTCGGTTCCTTTACTCGCAGGTAAGGGGCTAGAATGACAAACGAAGACGCTGCCATGCCGTATTGTTCCTTACTTATCGAACTGTTGGAAGCCTACTATAAAGATTGTTCATGTGTTTAACGTAAGGGCTTCTCATATTTTGCTCCGAAGACTAAGGGAATCCGGAATCCTTATCAATACAGGTACGGATTCTTGCTTTTTCATCCTTTTCTGAGAAGAAAAGGACCTCTTATTTACTCTCACGAAAAGACCTGTGCCTCTGATATCCAGCTACTTAGCAAAGTGTGGAAAATACCGTTGACGGGCGCTTCTTGATGCTACATCTCGCCTGGCGTGTCGGCGTGCGGGGCGATGCTTCTCAAGTACTTACCAAGAATATGCCGCCTTTGCTCCCGCGCGCAGAACCACTCACTCATTTCCAGCTGATCCGTAGACTCACACTTCGCTCACCCTTCGAGTGAATCTTGGACGCCGCGGCTCTCAAAAAAAGGATACCGAACTCGGGTTCGAACGGATATTTGTTCTTGATCCGCTTTTGATTCAAGCAGCGGCCGGTCCAGGAGCAATCGCGTTGTGAAATACGGATCGTTTTTTGGTAAACTCAGCTTGGAATCCATCGTCTGCAAGTGGTACCTTCGTCATCACCTGCTGGAAGGCAGACAACCGTTGCAGTTTCTGCAACGAACGATTGTGCGCGGCATAGGCTTCACCATCGAGCTCATCATTAATGTCATGAGTCGCTATCGTACGACAGCCCTCCCCCCAAACCCCCAACCACCCCTGCCGTTTGTATGGACACCGAGGACTATTCTTTCGTATGCCTGCATTATTCTGCTTGCAAATGGCTGGCGTTGCACTGCCCACCCCCCCCCCCCCCTGCAACCCCGCTTTTTGAAATAGAACCCTGGAATTTTTCGTTTGGCAGGAACCCTGGATTTTTCTCTTTGCTTCTTCTGCACGCGGAAAGCCCGGACCGATCCTTTTGCAAATTTGGGGTGTTGGCCAGGGGGTGCACCCCAAAGAGCACGACCATGCGGAGCAGGAAATAGAGGCTTGTCCTGTGATGACAACTGCAGCTTTCCTTTCAAAACGTAGGGGTTTCCGATGATATTATATAGAGCACCGACTGATAGATGCATGTTTTCAATCACATTTCTAGAGCAACCAGCAAGGGTCCTGCTTCAGCCCCGAAGCTGCTTTTGTCCATGTTAAAAAAAAGTTGCGATATGATGTTAACGCGCTGATGGATAGAGGAAGTGTTAAAAGGGACAGCGAGGCCCCGCAATTGAAGGTTTGACGCAATTGCGGAACCCACTCTGGATGGATCCCCAAAACAGGCACACGTCCTGAACAGCCTGGCAAACTTGACTTTTATTCAGGAGGTCCCCACTAAAGCGGGTACAACGTTACATTGGAGGAATACAGCACTGTTTTCCATAAAAAAAGTAAACAGAGGTCGTCCTATTTACACATGGAGGAAACGAAGGGTTTATTTCCGTTGATGGTAGAGAAAAACAGACAGGCTTACCTATTAAATGACACGGGAAATGGACTGAACTACGGCGGAAATGCACAAATTTCCTGTGAACTTTTGATGAGATATTACAAGTTTCCGATCAAAACGTACACACATTCAAGGTTTTCTTTGAAACCCATGGGCTTCTTCCGGAAGCCATTGACGGCAATTGTTCTGTGCCAGAACAGTTGCCACGTTGACACACCCTCATTCGTTGAAAGTCGTACAGGTACGTATCGGGAGCGCTGCTTCTGAAATTCCATTCTGGCTTCCGCCTGGAATGCCTGCCACTGTTCCTCGCACTGTAGCTGGCGCTTCTGGTCTTCCGAGCTTCTGAGTAAGGTTTCGTTGCAATTGCTACATGTCTTGAATTTCTGAGGAAGGTTTCATTAAAATTGCTACTCGGCTTGAATTCTTCTTAAGAAGGTTTCCTTGTGCTGCTACTCAGGTTGAATTTCTGAGCAAGTTTTGTTGAAATTGCCACATGTGGATGCAAATGCTACCAGTCTTGATTTTCTGAGAAAGGTTTCTTTGCAATTGCTGCATGTCTTGAATTTCTGAGGAAGGTTTCATTTGCAATTGCTACTCGGCTAAGCTTTCACTGTAAATGCTACTAGCCTAGAGTTTCTGAGGAAAGTTTCGTTGCAATTGCTACTCGTCTTGAATATCTGAGAAAAGTTTCGCTGCAACTGCTACTCGTGCTGATGTTCTGACCAAGGCTTCGCTGTAAATGCTACTAGTCTCGAGTTTCTGAGGAAGGTTTCGTTGCAATTGCTACATGTTGCAATTGCTACTCGTCTTGAAATTCTGAGAGGTTTCGCTGTGAATGCTACTAGTTTTGACTTTCTGAAGGTTTCGTTGCAATTGCTGCATGTCTTGGATTTCTGAGGATTGTTTCGTTGCAATTGCTACTCGGACTGAAATTGTGTGGAAAGTTTTGTTGTAAATGCTACTAGTCTTGATTTCCGCCGACCCCAGCCGGGGGCGGCGTCAGTGAAGACCCACTGCCCCTTAGTACCGCCCTCACCCCCACACCTCCAGTGCATGCCCGACCCTACAACCCCTTCCTGCGCCTCGTCTAGCACCCCATGCCTTCAGTGCTTCGTCTACTAGTGCACGCCTAAACCCTCAAGGGCTCCAGCGCATGCCCTGGCCGCCCCCACCCCCACCGCTCCTTCTCTGAGGTCGGCGGCGCTGGCGGGACCCTCAAAGTGTCCCGCCGTGGCTGTCCTCCCTGTCCTTCTCCAGGTGGGCAAGGGAGGCATGGCGGCTACACCCCTCTACCCACAGAAAGTCAACAAGCAGGACTTACAGGAGCCCTGCAGAAATGCAAGACCCCCAGCCTCCAAAGTTGACCCCTGCCCTAAAGCTCAACAGGCTGGGGGTCTTGACTACGAAAACGGCTGAGTGTGCAGCCATTAGTCGCACTATTCAACAGAAAAAATGCTTACTTAACTTCTGCCGAAGACGCGTTGTTGATGTTTTTCGGGGGGCATCGGCCAACCCAAAGGACCCCCACAAGAGCGCACGTCATGAGCATCAGCGGGTTGGGTC